TGCTAGCTGCAACACACCAGAAAGGCTTCCGAGGACTTCGAAAACTGTCACAGAAAAAAAGAAACAGTCACACCAGATGAGCTGGGCCCACAGGACCCTGGGGCATGCCAGCCAAATAATAATAATAATAATAATAAAGCCCTTAAGTTATGAAGACCAATGTTGGTCACCCTCTAAGGTGTTTTCTCTTTCCATATTTTCCTTCCATCCCCTAAAATGGGAAATTACCCATAGCTCAGCCTTCTGGCCCACTCCCTATGCCTGCATTTCATCCTCCTCAGGTGACTTCCAACTATGTGAAGTTCAAACACACATGCCTACTCTAGACTCCTTACTTAAAATAGCCCACTGTGAAAACACTATTCACTGACAATGACATCATTTCAGTCCGACATCAACCCTGAAAACTTAAAGCTACATGCTTTCTTCCTCTCTCCTGATCTTTTAACCAAATAAACCTCATTTATATTTTCTTTGAAATGACCTTTACAAGTCCTTGCTTTCTCTCCTTTCACACTGCCTTGTAAGCTTTTGTGATACCCAACTTGGGTTTCTGAATCCACCCCCCCCCAAGAAATCCTGTTAGTTTAGATCTCTCCTTTAACTTTTCAAGTCTGTTAATAGTCTCCAAAAGTACTACCACTTCAGTTGTCTTATTCATTTGCTCCAGGACCTATATTTGACTAGATATCAAGACTTACTTTAAAGCTGTGCTACTTAAGACTATACTATGAACACGGACTATAGTATGAATACGGCCCTCAAATTGACCCATACACACATAGAAGATCGATACTCACTATATATGACATTTCATATCAGTGAAGAACAGATTCTTCACTAAATACCACTGGGGATATGGATTTTTTCCACATGGAAAATTATAAAGTTAGATCCTTACCTCACACAATGAATGGAAAAATCGACTCCATGGGGTATTATAGTAAGTAGACAACCTGAGACCATCAGACAAGTTGTGCATGCTCTGGATATCAGAGCTGGGGAGGTGAGGTTACCAAAGCACTTTAGAGCCCAGAAGTTCACAAATGAGTTCCAGATATCTGACATTAAGCTTTTTACACTGCTAGATTTTTACTTTGCTTTGACCCGATTTTAACTGTGTCCAGGTTCTTCCCTCTGGAATAAGAAGGTATGTAACTTATTTTGGATTTTATAGGATCCTATAGTT